GAAAGCACGCCCCCAAATAGGCCGCTTCTGAGCGAAAAAAACGCCTCCTTATCAGAAAAATCTTTGCCTCCTATCAGCGCTGATAAGGCCAAAACTTTTTTTCGGCCAACTTCGCTGTTTAACCCCGATGGGCCTACCAGCCGTCTGACACTCCGCTAACGTCGTGCTTGCAGCGGTCCCCTGCTGTTGTTTGAAGGCACTAGTCGCGGGCGTTATGTATATAATTACAATAGCTATTTAATAAAGGTGCATTGATTGCTTACTTTATTAGAACAATCATTTAGCGTCTAATAGGGGCGGTTTGACGTGCGCTGGTTGCGTGAAAGCACGCCCCCAAATAGGCCGCTTCTGAGCGAAAAAAACGCCTCCTTATCAGAAAAATCTTTGCCTCCTATCAGCGCTGATAAGGCCAAAACTTTTTTTCGGCCAACTTCGCTGTTTAACCCCGATGGACCTACCAGCCGTCTGACACTCCGCTAACGTCGTGCTTGCAGCGGTCCCCTGGTGTTGTTTGAAGGCACTAGTCGCGGGCGTTATGTATATAATTACAATAGCTATTTAATAAAGGTGCATTGATTGCTTACTTTATTAGAACAATCATTTAGCGTCTAATAGGGGCGGTTTGACGTGCGCTGGTTGCGTGAAAGCACGCCCCCAAATAGGCCGCTTCTGAGCGAAAAAAACGCCTCCTTATCAGAAAAATCTTTGCCTCCTATCAGCGCTGATAAGGCCAAAACTTTTTTTCGGCCAACTTCGCTGTTTAACCCCGATGGACCTACCAGCCGTCTGACACCCCGCTAACGTCGTGCTTGCAGCGGTCCCCTGGTGTCGTTTGAAGGCACTAGTCGCGGGCGTTATGTATATAATTACAATAGCTATTTAATAAAGGTGCATTGATTGCTTACTTTATTAGAACAATCATTTAGCGTCTAATAGGGGCGGTTTGACGTGCGCTGGTTGCGTGAAAGCACGCCCCCAAATAGGCCGCTTCTGAGCGAAAAAAACGCCTCCTTATCAGAAAAATCTTTGCCTCCTATCAGCGCTGATAACGCCAAAACTTTTTTTCGGCCAACTTCGCTGTTTAACCCCGATGGGCCTACCAGCCGTCTGACACCCCGCTAACGTCGTGCTTGCAGCGGTCCCCTGGTGTCGTTTGAAGGCACTAGTCGCGGGCGTTATGTATATAATTACAATAGCTATTTAATAAAGGTGCATTGATTGCTTACTTTATTAGAACAATCATTTAGCGGTCTAATAGGGGCGGTTTGACGTGCGCTGCTTGCGTGAAAGCACGCCCCCAAATAGGCCGCTTCTGAGCGAAAAAAACGCCTCCTTATCAGAAAAATCTTTGCCTCCTATCAGCGCTGATAAGGCCAAAACTTTTTTTCGGCCAACTTCGCTGTTTAACCCCGATGGACCTACCAGCCGTCTGACACCCCGCTAACGTCGTGCTTGCAGCGGTCCCCTGGTGTCGTTTGAAGGCACTAGTCGCGGGCGTTATGTATATAATTACAATAGCTATTTAATAAAGGTGCATTGATTGCTTACTTTATTAGAACAATCATTTAGCGTCTAATAGGGGCGGTTTGACGTGCGCTGGTTGCGTGAAAGCACGCCCCCAAATAGGCCGCTTCTGAGCGAAAAAAACGCCTCCTTATCAGAAAAATCTTTGCCTCCTATCAGCGCTGATAAGGCCAAAACTTTTTTTCGGCCAACTTCGCTGTTTAACCCCGATGGACCTACCAGCCGTCTGACACCCCGCTAACGTCGTGCTTGCAGCGGTCCCCTGGTGTCGTTTGAAGGCACTAGTCGCGGGCGTTATGTATATAATTACAATAGCTATTTAATAAAGGTGCATTGATTGCTTACTTTATTAGAACAATCATTTAGCGGTCTAATAGGGGCGGTTTGACGTGCGCTGCTTGCGTGAAAGCACGCCCCCAAATAGGCCGCTTCTGAGCGAAAAAAACGCCTCCTTATCAGAAAAATCTTTGCCTCCTATCAGCGCTGATAAGGCCAAAACTTTTTTTCGGCCAACTTCGCTGTTTAACCCCGATGGACCTACCAGCCGTCTGACACCCCGCTAACGTCGTGCTTGCAGCGGTCCCCTGGTGTCGTTTGAAGGCACTAGTCGCGGGCGTTATGTATATAATTACAATAGCTATTTAATAAAGGTGCATTGATTGCTTACTTTATTAGAACAATCATTTAGCGGTCTAATAGGGGCGGTTTGACGTGCGCTGCTTGCGTGAAAGCACGCCCCCAAATAGGCCGCTTCTGAGCGAAAAAAACGCCTCCTTATCAGAAAAATCTTTGCCTCCTATCAGCGCTGATAAGGCCAAAACTTTTTTTCGGCCAACTTCGCTGTTTAACCCCGATGGACCTACCAGCCGTCTGACACCCCGCTAACGTCGTGCTTGCAGCGGTCCCCTGGTGTCGTTTGAAGGCACTAGTCGCGGGCGTTATGTATATAATTACAATAGCTATTTAATAAAGGTGCATTGATTGCTTACTTTATTAGAACAATCATTTAGCGTCTAATAGGGGCGGTTTGACGTGCGCTGGTTGCGTGAAAGCACGCCCCCAAATAGGCCGCTTCTGAGCGAAAAAAACGCCTCCTTATTAGGACAATCTTTGCCTCCTATCAGCGCTGATAAGGCCAAAACTTTTTTTCGGCCAACTTCGCTGTTTAACCCCGATGGGCCTACCAGCCGTCTGACACCCCGCTAACGTCGTGCTTGCAGCGGTCCCCTGGTGTCGTTTGAAGGCACTAGTCGCGGGCGTTATGTATATAATTACAATAGCTATTTAATAAAGGTGCATTGATTGCTTACTTTATTAGAACAATCATTTAGCGGTCTAATAGGGGCGGTTTGACGTGCGCTGCTTGCGTGAAAGCACGCCCCCAAATAGGCCGCTTCTGAGCGAAAAAAACGCCTCCTTATCAGAAAAATCTTTGCCTCCTAGCAGCGCTGATAAGGCCAAAACTTTTTTTCGGCAAACTTCGCTGTTTAACCCCGATGGACCTACCAGCCGTCTGACACTCCACTAACGTCGTGCTTGCAGCGGTCCCCTGGTGTTGTTTGAAGGCACTAGTCGCGGGCGTTATGTATATAATTACAATAGCTATTTAATAAAGGTGCATTGATTGCTTAATTTATTAGAACAATCATTTAGCGTCTAATAGGGGCGGTTTGACGAGCGCTGGTTGCGTGAAAGCACGCCCCCAAATAGGCCGCTTCTGAGCGAAAAAAACGCCTCCTTATTAGGACAATCTTTGCCTCCTAGCAGCGCTGATAAGGCCAAAACTTTTTTTCGGCCAACTTCGCTGTTTAACCCCGATGGGCCTACCAGCCGTCTGACACTCCGCTAACGTCGTGCTTGCAGCGGTCCCCTGCTGTTGTTTGAAGGCACTAGTCGCGGGCGTTATGTATATAATTACAATAGCTATTTAATAAAGGTGCATTGATTGCTTACTTTATTAGAACAATCATTTAGCGTCTAATAGGGGCGGTTTGACGTGCGCTGGTTGCGTGAAAGCACGCCCCCAAATAGGCCGCTTCTGAGCGAAAAAAACGCCTCCTTATCAGGAAAATCTTTGCCTCCTATCAGCGCTGATAAGGCCAAAACTTTTTTTCGGCCAACTTCGCTGTTTAACCCCGATGGGCCTACCAGCCGTCTGACACCCCGCTAACGTCGTGCTCGCAGCGGTCCCCTGGTGTCGTTTGAAGGCACTAGTCGCGGGCGTTATGTATATAATTACAATAGCTATTTAATAAAGGTGCATTGATTGCTTACTTTATTAGAACAATCATTTAGCGGTCTAATAGGGGCGGTTTGACGTGCGCTGCTTGCGTGAAAGCACGCCCCCAAATAGGCCGCTTCTGAGCGAAAAAAACGACTCCTTATCAGAAAAATCTTTGCCTCCTATCAGCGCTGATAAGGCCAAAACTTTTTTTCGGCAAACTTCACTGTTTAACCCCGATGGACCTACCAGCCGTCTGACACTCCACTAACGTCGTGCGTTGCGGCGGTCCCCTGGTGTTGTTTGAAGGCACTAGTCACTGGCGTTGAATGTCCTCAAATAATAGGGAGTTTTCACGTGATGTCAATCCGCCATTTTGTTGTCAGATTAAGTGAGAAAGTGTTTTATTCATTAGAAAAAAGGCGCGGTGAAACTTACTCAAGCTTTTGTGCTCTCCTGATTTCACTGTGTCACCTAAATTTTCGGAATACTTTCAGCACGCTTCAGACAGCTCATAACAACAAAAGGGTTGACGAAATTACTCCAGTAAAGGTGCATCGATTGGTAACTTTATGAGAACGATCATCTTGCGTTGTCATAGCGACGCTTCTTTGACGTGTGCTGGTTGCATGAATGTATACCCACAAATAGGCGCTTCTGAGCGGGTAAAAAAAAACGTCTCGTTATCAGGAAAATTTTAGCCTCCTATAAGCGCCTATATGGCCAAAACGTTTTTCGACCAACTTCACTGTGGCCTACCAGGCGTCCGTCACTTCGCTAACATCGTGCCTCGCAGCGGTCCCCTGGTGTTAGCATAAGGCATTGCATATCCATTAAATAATCAAGTACAAAACAAGAGTGTTGGTAACACTTTCAAACATGTGGAAGGTAACACAGAGGGGACAGACAACATTGTTGCCCGTGCCTCCTGTTTGAAGCCATTAAATAAAGGTGTATTTATTAGTTAATATTTATTGCACCAGATCGCTCAAATCAGCTCTAAAGGTTTTCTTTTTCAAACATATTGGGAAAATTGTTGTGATAATAATTGATAATAATGACGAATTAACAATATCACCCTGAATGTATAGAAGATATGATGACTGATTGATGAAAGAGGAATATGTTGGTTTAGTTCAATTAGGCAGTTTATTCCTACATTTGGAGTAAAGGTTTGAGCTGTGAAACCTTTCTATACTGGTACCACCTTCAACTGCATTAAAAAAAAAAGATTTGATGTACTCAGACAACCAAGCAGTTTTCATCGTTCCCGGAGGATTCTGACACGTTTATTTACATTATATATATGGGAACAACAACAACAGAGCAAAATAAAGATAATCAAGCAACACAATATAAGAAATATGATGTTAACATCTTGTTCTGTACAGATGCACAAAAAAACATTGTGTGCATGAGCGAAATTTCTATTAATATACCTATTTACAAAAATACAGTCTGAGGCTTAAAATGTTGGGAGTACAATTCCACACCTCAAGGGTTTAAATAAATCATTAAGTAAAGAAATAGAACAGTATAGGAACAGACTGCATAGCCTTGATTGAGAAAAGTAGCAAAGCAAACCGGTTACTCATTTTCAACATTGCAGGTAATCTCAATGGAGTTTCAGCAAATTGCTCCGTACAGAGTCAAGTAAAAATACATCAGAATCCCCAAGGCTTAGCATAAGGCACATGGCTCAGTTTATACCAAAAGCATGTAGGTATCTACGGAAGGATTCACATATTGTCATATACCTAGGCAACCATCCTTTTGATGGCTTTATTGCTCAATTCATTTCACTGTCAGATATGACCTCATTGTAAAGACATCATGGGGATGAAGCACAAAAAGATCTATCAAGTAACGCATGTATTGTCAAACAAACAGAGCATTTTCTGGTAATCAACTCTTTCCATCAATTTTCATGAAGGCACATCGTTCAAAGATGATTGAATTCTTTGCAACCCTGCTAACCCCAGGACAGTATCACAGCTCCGCTGACAAAGACCTTTCACACACAAATGATACCGCCGACATTCCAAGGCACTTCGGGATCAATCCTCCTCAACAACGCAGGGAATGTATGAGGTTGAGGTTCAGCAACAACAAACATGGGATGTTTACCAATGGCACCTTGTCATGCGCAGTCATTGAGAAACAACAAAAAATATATTACTATGGTCCGTTTGTCAGGTTACGTGCCATGTGACAGGAACAAGCCAAATTGTAGCGCGTCGATTTACGCATTGCATGGTACAAACATTGCAGAAGATGGTTTTCAGTTTCTTTGGTCCATGACCATATACGGTAACATGGGAAGGAATGCCGCCCACACTGCTTACAGGCAAACGGCTGCACCGTAACTGCATACTGCACAAATTGGTTAGAAAAAATAGTCGATTGTGAGATTGGCATTGATAATGGAAGAACAGCTCGACAACTACCAGCATGTAGGCGAGAAAACAACGCTGCAGGCAGCATTCCCAGGCAAGGCAAGGGAACACGTGCAACCACACATGGGTGACTGCTACTTCCCCTCCCACCTTCCGAGGATTTAACATTGAAGCGGCTTTGGTCCCTTGCACTGGAAATTTGACTTTCGGCACTTCACTTCACCTTGCGTCACCGAGGTCATCACGGGCGAACCAGCCGGACGGCCTAGTAGCTGCGAAGATGCGAAGCTCGATGCACCTCTTTTGTTTTTCCTACGACGTTTGGCAGTCAGCCGTTGCAGGTGTTGGAGAAGCAGTAGACAATCTGGTTAATGCTGGTGTAGGTGCCAGTCACAAAACCCACAACTCCAAACACGGATATGGTGATGTTCTTGAGGCAGAGCAGACACCACATGGGTTTGCCTAGAACAGAAAGAGTCGATAATGATTGTAAGTCACTTTATAAATAAAATGGCTAAAGCAGTGGTTCTCAATGGATGTCCGCAGATTCCTTAGGGTCTGCGAAGCCCTGCCTCGTCAGTCAAGCCCGGCAATAAAAGTTGCCTTATTTTCAGATTGAGAAGAAATGCTCCAATTTTCGGACAAGTTATCTTGTGTGTGTGTCAATGAGAGAAGTCTACCTCGCACAGCTCTTAGTTATGTCCACTTATAAAACATTATCATAATTAACCTATGCCTTTCCCTTCCCCACACCACAAACGAGGGTCCTCCATCACCTCTGCCGATCCACAAGGTGCCTGCGAAACACCACTGGTTGAAAACCACTGGGCTAGTGGGACCACAAAGCCAGTTTGGTTGTCACTTTTTCCAACAGCATATTGCACATTACAGATGGTTGCCACAGATGTGCAGGTCCATGACTTGCGATTTTGGCTTTGACTCTAGATAGGTAAATGTCGGCCCATCTTATTTTTGCTGAACTTCTATTTGTTTAGACATTAACCTACCAGTTTCTTCAACCATACCACTGTACTTAGTGTGTGCCACAATTTGCTGCTTCAAATTTTTTCCACTCGCTATTTATACTGGTGTTATGCCCACACAAAAAAAGGGTAAGAATAAAAACTTCATAATAAACAACACCAGAGGGAAAAATTTAAAAAAAGGACAACCAGATGCAGCTTATTTACGATGCTGACTCCAAAAGCCAGGAATTCTAACCGTAGGATATGTGCGCAGTGTGCACGTGGACATGTGCACATTGGGACATGTGCACGTGTCTCACAAGTAGGACGGGCATGTGCACATGCACATGCCCGTCCTACTTTGGGTAGGCTCTGAGCAACAGAGATATTCTATGAAAGCCAAAACACTTTTAATTTGCACATATAGGGTGGAAAAAGTAGACCTTCTGCTTAAAAGGAGCCAGAAAAATCAGCGCCTGCACATACAAAGCTCAACTTTCACCAAATGTGCATGAAGCAGGTCAGTTTCGCCGTGCGAAATTTGAAGGTGTCATTCTCCTCACGTAAAACAATGAGAGCAAGAAACTTGCCAAAGTCGAGGTTGGGGTGGCACAATCGTATGATGGGTGTATATCAAAACAACCCATTCTGATTTGAACCCTTCTCGTGTGAACCCATTTGCAAAACGCCCTTCACTTTTTAACCTTTTTGCTTTTCAACCCTTTCTCATTTATACGCGCCTCATTTGAACACATTCTCATTTGAACGCCTCTCGTTTGAACCAACTCGCAAAACGCCCTTCGCATTTTAACCTTTCGAGTTTCGACCCTTTCGCGTTTCGACCTTTTCTGGATTGGGCCCGTCTCGTTTGAACCCGTTCTCATTTGAACACCATATTTGAACAACATGCTCATGTGCTATGCACAAGATGAAAACGCTAGGCATAATTTTTTCAGAGTTTATGCAATGGGATCATCATATAGAATTTCTAACTCACAAACTGGCAAAGGTAGCTGGCATCATCGGTCACTGTCGCTCTCTTTTGCCCACAAAAGTTAAGATTCAAATTTATCATGCTCTGTTCGGCTCACAAATCAACTACTGCCATTTAGTTTGGGGCACAACGACCAAGAGTAACGTCAACAAACTAATAACTCTTCAGAAAAAAATTATTCGTTTCATTGCTAATGTTCCGTACGACACACATGCTGAACCATTATATTTGAGCTACAATATCATGAAAGTTTCTTGTATTTATGACTATCGTTTGCTATTTTCTTACGCCTTTTCAACTTTGGAGTTTATTGCTTTTTTGTCACAGCTAGCAAACCTGACTGAGCGTGAATCAGTCTTCGATGTTCGTCGTAGAGAATTCTGGAAGGTTCCCCATTTCCGTACAAATTATGCACTGCAGTCGCTTGCTCATAATCTACCTACATTGCTTAACAACATTGTAATGAACCGCATCGATATTCATTGTATAACTAAGAAAACATTGCATACTTTTTTGTGTTGTTAAATTAAGAAAAAAAAATGTTCTCTAATGTCGGTGATTTTAAAATTTTTATTGGAACATTTTAAACTGTTTGATTTGAATATTGTAAGAAATATTTAGGATTGTTTAAATATGATTGTGTTCCCTGTACATGCAAGGGCACCGGACCCAGTCAAGCTAGCTTCTGTTAGCTTTTTGTCCGGTGTCCTCGGCATAATGTTGCTGAAATAAAGTTCAAAGTTCAAAAAACAAAGGGCAGTGAGGTGTAGAAAGGAGGAACAGTTGAGGGGTGACAGTTGAAGGTGAAGCGAAGGTGATACATAAATGCTGCAAAATGGCGCCATCTTGTGCATAGCACATGAAACAAGTCTCCTTATACACTCCGTGCGGGAACTATAGGGGGCGCTTTGAAAAACGCGCGCAGCGCCGCTAGCGGAGGAGCTGGCGTTCGACCGTGAGTCGCGTTCAGCAGCCTGCGGCGCCTTTTCGCATGCCAAGCTGTGGCGGCGGAAGCGCGCACGGACGAAACTTTTGCTTTTTGAGCCGATACGTTGAGGGTGACGTTGCATGAATGCTGGGGCAGACCTAAGGAGGGCATTTAGCTGTTCTTCTCTTCTTATATATTGAGTTTTAGTCGTTATTCGGGGGAATTTCTCTAGTTGCGGCAAAAAAAGGAGTTGGAGCAATTTTCCGAAAAGCAAGACGGCCGCCACCATAATTGCTTTGAGTGGGAAATTTACTTCGCTCGTCGCTGTAAACGTAGGACTGCTGGAACGATGATATTGGAGGCGAGTGAGATGTCCACTAAGTTTCTGCACGAAGTGTGCCAAGTTTCATTAAGACAGCAGGTGTGAAAGTTGTTTCTAACTAATGAAGAAATAAAGCTGTATGGTATATCCAATATTGGACACAAAATGTTGTGTTATAGCGGGCTGTGCATAGTGCAGATTTGGGCACACAGGTGCTTGGACTTGACAGTAACATGGCACAGCACTTATTATACAAAAAAAAAAAAAAAGTGGCACAGGGAAACCAGGTGAAAATTTGGTTTGGGCGGCGTAACTCAATGGGAACCGGTTTTGACCATGAAAAGGCTGTCAAGAGAATACCACTGGTCGGGGGAGGTGGAGTCTTTAGAGGTAGGAAGGGACTAGTGGAATGCACTTCCAATCGAAACAACTTTACGAAAGGTGGTTCCAAAGCCGAGAAAACGAAGTTGTCGGCCAACACACGGTTTGGCCGCCAAGGGCTTTTGCGGTCAGCTGTTGTGTAATAACCTGTTGTGCAAGGAGCTGATTTTCGGCCCACAGGTACTTTGACATGACCGTCACTTGGCACAACACTTATTATAACAAAAATAGTTGGCATAGCGAAACCAGGTGGAAATTTAGTTTGGGCGGCGTAACTAAATGGGAACTGGCTTTGACCGTCAAAGGCTGTCAGAAAATACCACTCATCGTGGGAGGTGCACACTTTACAGGTAGGAAGGGACCAGCGGGCGGTACTTCCAGTTCGAACCACTTTGCGATAGGTGGCTCTAAAGCCGAGAAAAAAAATTGTTGTCTACAGAACTCGGGGTGTCAGTGTTTCCACATCCAAAAGGAGGCTTATCAAGAAAGAAAGCACACCACATAAACTTCCATACTCAAACGTGGACTCTCCAGTGATTCCGAGTTTCATGGTTGTTTTCTTTAGATTAACATTTGTCACTTTTTTTACCGTTCAAATCTTTCTTCATGAAGTACAGATTGCGTGCCATATTTGTCCGGAAATATCATCGACACGTACGATGGGGACGAAACTTCTTTGGAGGGCATTCCTCCAACGAAATCGGCACTGCATACCCGCGAGTGTGGGATGGCATTTCAGTTCGTCCCATCGGCGCTGACACATGTAGGCGTTCCTGGTACGAAAACAAACGCAGAGCGCCAAGCGGCAGTGTAGAATATGTCAGCCGTGCCGACACAGTGGCAGACATGATCGGGACACCAAATTTCTCGCGTCGTACGGCACGGCTCCATCGTTGTCGCTGTCCCACAAAACATCGGCGAGGGGAAAAACTGTGAAACTTTGTCTCCACGAGATACGACGCATAACTATTGAAGCACTTAATGACGCAGCACAGGCAGCACTTCATGCTGTGAACCCAGCGCAACAGCACCACTCCGACTTCAACGCGTACCAACGTACGCCGGCGTGGTTTCGGTTTCGTTTTCTCTGGGGTGCTCACTGCCTACCTTCGGTAACGGCCGCGCGGCGGCGCGCCAGTCGCGTCGCACGGAGTGTATACCTGCGTGCCGCCTAACTGTTGACATAGCTACGCGGTCACATGGTGACGTGGTTTTAAAAGTGCTAGCACTGTTTCGGTACTTTATTTCTCTTCTGGCGCTGTTGACGTCGTTAAGTTGTCCTTGTGTGGAGTGGATGGATCATTGTGCTTGTCATGTGTTATTGCATGTAAGCACCGCAGAAAGATTGCAAGATCATGATGTTGGATTAATTTGGGTTTGGTGGTCCTATCGAGAATGCGAGTATTATGTGCACACTGTTTGAGATGAGCACATCTACGCTGGGGGCTGTTCATTGCTCCAATGATGCCGGGGGTGTGCATGCCATGACGATGCAGACAGGCGTTGGGAGCTGCAGCGTTTTCTTTTTTCGAAATGTGCAGGTGCGGATGTTGCGTGGCTTGAGAGCTTTCTTACCAGGCACAGCTTTTTTTCATTATTTCAGTCGTGAATCACCGGATGCAAATTATGCTCATCTGGCATGCCCTGTAAGGATATTGAATTATTTACGAACGGTGTGGAAGTGGTCGTATAGATCTACGATCATTGTATATTTGCCTATCTGTTGTCTGTCATGCCGTAGATTGGCATGACCTCTGGATGTCATTCCCCAAGAAGCATTTCAAGACACAATAAAGCTTCAGGAGCCTGGACTTCATAATGTCATTGGTTCCTTTATTTCGGTTTCCCGTGAGTGTATGCTGAAATTATAGCTTTTCCATAGCTTGACCATGTACAGGGTTAAAATGAGATAAGTCTTTTTGTGAATGGTCGAAACCAGAAAATATGTTTTTAGTAAGTTTGAAAGGAGAAAGGTTAAAATGAGAAAAGTTGTTTTGACAATGGTCAAAACCCGAAAATTTGTTTTGAGAATGGCTTAAGCGCGAAAGAAAAAAAAAGTGAAAGTTGTTTTGCCATGGGTTGAAATGAGAAGGTCAAAACGAGAAGGCAGAAATGCGAACGGATTCAAATGAGAACCACCCCTTCCAATAGGCATAGCGCGCAGACGTCACGCCCTGCTGTCTGCTTGGTGCCTCTTTGGAGATGACACCACGAGTCAATGGTGTTACTAACTCAATTGCCCACCAATGCATCCAACCTTTACTTCTTTTTGGTCTAGTTTTCCACAGGGAGAGAACTACCCTTTCAAATTTCAAGAGGCAAAACTAACCTGCTTGGTGCACATTTGGCAAGAATTTGCCAAATGTGCGCCAATTTTTTCCAGCTCGTCTAACGTCGGATGCTTCGCTCATGCCACCCTATATTTCTTCATTTTCACAGCGGAGCTGTTAGGGGCTAGTTTACCCAGGATCGTGTACCCCACAAAGAAATAAGGCACCGAACTCTAAAACACTTACTGCCACCTATGAGCGACAGCAGCAAGCCACGTATCTGGTTGCCGCCGTCGCCCATAGATGGTGGCAGCCTTTCCATTCTGGCTTGCCATCTTGCGACCGGCCATTACTTTTCATTGTACAGCTCCGCTGGTCTTCCTTCTTCACCAAAGTGGTAAGGCTGAAAGTTTCTTATGCATCCGTATTTCACCACGAGCTCAAATTAATTCTGACAAGGTTATAAGCGACCATTTCTCATTGCTAATGTGTAGACTTTATCTCGGAAATAGTTAAAAACATTGTCTATTGTTTAATTTGAGTTGAATGAAAAGGGAGAAGCCTGGAATTTTCAGTCTAGCTATACGCAGACTGGAAGTACAGTGCAATCCACTTATAACAATACCACATACAACGATGCACCGCTTATAACGATCAGTTTCTAGAGTTTCTAGACTGGAAATAATCAGTTTCTAGTCCAGATACAACGATAATCGGCTATAACGATTGAAATTTTGGGTTTTCTCATTATTGTTATAAGTGGGTTGCACTGTACTCCCGTGTGCCCTCTCATTGCAGGCGGTCACAAGCAAAAGGACCGCAGTCAATCCCGCCCAAATGCATCTGTGCGAACCAGCTTCGACTCGCAAGACTTCTTTTTCGTTACATGGAGAATCCGACACCGCAATGCTCTGGTGGTGGGAAGAAAGCCGCCTTACTGCAGTCAGCGTCCCACATGGTGAAGAGCTCCAGCACCGGGGGTAGTATGAGCGCCAGGCTGCTGCTTGCCAAAGCACCCACCAGGGAGATGAACAGATCCAACTGTGGAATGGCAGCCGCCAGGACGACTGCATGGTACAAACGCGTTAGGAACTGCCGCAAGGGCCACTAAGGGGTCGTCGAGATAAATCCAAGCTTTTTCCAGGTTTTCTCTCAACACAGTGAAGCTAACCAGCCGTATTGCGCTTCCATGCGACTAGACAGAAGACCATCGCGTGATTAACAATTCGCGACTGGCTCAAAAATGAGCAGAGAGTACGACCGGAGGGCAGCAATACTTGAATCACTTCGTGCCGGAAAGTCGCCTAAGGAAATCATTGCATGGTATGGCTACAAGAAGACACAAGTTTTCAGCATTGCCAAGAGGTTCAGATAATCTCTCATCCAGGAAGACGTGACTGCTGACCGAGCAAAGCGCAGAAAATGGTCGATATACATTTTATTTTTTCCTCTGTGTGTTTACGGATTTATCTCGACGACCCTGCAGATGAGCTACGCTTTAGAACAACGACTATTTGGCAATCTCGGTCGCAAGTTGCAAGTTGTGCTAAGCTTTAGCTGAAATTGTGGGAAATAGTGTTACTTCCTCCAGAAGCGTTAAAATAGTCTGCAACGGAGCGAAACGATAACGCCCGAGCTTCCAAACGCCTATTTGAAGCGCAGGAAGTCGCATTTTAGAATCGCAACAATTGCCGATCGTATCCCTCTGCACTAGCCACCAAAATGGCGGCACACACAAGAAAATTGGGGAATGGAGTGTTAATAGTTAGTTGCCACCACATGATTGTATTGTCAGCAAAATCTCGTGGCTCGGTCAATGGTACAAAGGCCTACATAACGGCATCATTAATGACAACGCTGGTAGGAGACATGACATACTCGCTGGCACAAAGGGGACAGTCGTACGTTCATACAGGTACAGTCAAATTGTTGGGTTGTGGTAAACGCAGAAATAGGTTACGAGCATAAATTAATATTATGGTAAGCTCACACTTCATTTAGATGCAACGAAAATATAACTTTTATATTTTTAACTATTTGATTATCTCTGAAGAAGCAGAGAGAGGGTCAAACGCCAACATACAATATCGACCCGCTGCAAGGCACAATATCCTACTAGTTTCACCTTTGGGAGACAGAAAGGACCTTCTGCAATGGGTTGCCTAGATTCCTCTAGGGAAATTTAAGGATTAAAAGGGCTAGTTGGGCTATTCGGTTGTGGTTTATCTTAAACATTATGTGCCAAAAGGAAGAGGCAAAAGTAAACGAGGACAGCTTGACACGGCCTGCACCGCGTCCCCTTGTCTTCGTCATTGTTTTGGCATATCATGTTACTTAGCGAATCCTTTTCTCTTCAGGATAAAAGTTTCCTCTTTTTCCCTTCTTGCAAGATGGTGGGGAGAAATAGGAAGAGTAAGAGAGGGGGGTGATAGATCTGCACACTCTTTGATCAGAGGTGATGGCATCAACCTCTTGGAGGAGGGAGTGTGGAGGAGAGGGGTCAGAGGAGAAGAGGAAGGAAAGAGGAGGGGATTGAACCACACATCGAACTTCAACGGGGAAGAACACTTGTACAGGTGAGGCAGACAAGGAGTGTGCGGAGTGCGAGCTCGGCAGCCAGCTTCTTCCGGGGAGAGTGCTTGGCCTGGTCCAGGGAAAGGCGCTTGGCCAGCGCCGGCCAGATTATGCGCATCGGCACGTAGAGCTGGAGGGCATACGACAGGAAGATGGAGACGGCGAAGATCACCCGGATCACTTCGTTGAGTCTACGAGGTGAGAAGTCATGGGAGAGGTAAGAGACACACCAAGAGGTCTGCCTACTCTTTTTATGACACATCTGTGGCAGAACTAAGAGGATGATACTTGATTAAGAGTATGAGGAAGGTTGTTTTATTTACGCTATGCACCTTTCTCCTTTCCTATATCCTCTCCACTGTTTACCTTACCACAACATGGCTTTCCTCGCAGTTTAGGGAGACGCAAAGTATTAATAAGCAATTCTTCATCAAGAGAGTATCAGATGTGGAGAAAATTGTGAGCAAGAGCAGAAGCTAAGAATGCTGCCTTCCCTGCAGAAAACCAAGGTTGTATGTTGGCCTTTAAGAAGCTTCCTGTATTTATTCAAATACAGTCGCCGAGACCAATTTTTTGGGCGCTGATAATTCGCACTTGTTCAATATTTCGAACCTAAAGGAGGAACCGTGACCTACTTGATAAAAACAGTGCATATTCACGACCAATGTTTCGGACAGCTTGAAGTTTGAGAGTTTGGTTTTACGGACGAAATCGCCACTAGCGATTAGTGGGAAACGTCGCAGAGAAGCCGCCATTTTAGATACTATGTTGGCTGCACGCGGATTGGCTTGGTTTGGCAGCGCTACTTGAGTTCTGCTAACACCTACCACTAGGTGACGATACGCTATGGCATTTTTTTCTCTCTAGCTGCATGTCTTTATCATCATCATTGTTACCACTTTGCTATGTTCATTTGCCATTCTGCAGTCGTGGGACCTGCGCCTCTCATCTTGTTTCAATGAATCAAGTTTTGGGACTATGCTGGCTTGGATGTCATGGCCCTATCTGTTGGAAAGTAGTATGCGACCATAACACAAGAAAAGGAGGCAGCAATTCTCAAGCTAATAGAAAATGGCCAAACGCAAGCGGAGGCGAAACCTGAAGCAAGGCACTATAGATGGCTTTTTTAAGCCCACTTAGACATAATAAAGGCAAGTTTTTGAATCTGCAGTTTTTGGACTGCATTCGCATGTTTCTCGGTCCCTGCGAAGTCCAAAAAATCGGTCGGCGACTGTACAGCTCGACTTTCTTTACCACAGAAGTACTTCAAAATTACGGGCCGACCATAACTGTGACAAAAGAATGTTAACATATAGCCCATTACAACGTTTACAAAATCACACCCAAGCATGCGTATGTTCACAGCTATGGAAGGCAAGCAAAGCAAGCAACATGTGCACAAATGGTGAAAATGGTACAGGCCACACACCAGTTTCTGGAATGGCCTGTTATAGGTAGCAGAATTTAGAGATTCTTTTTCATGCCCAAGTCTTGGGCTTGTCACCATGGCAGAATAATTTACGACTATCGAGCTGACCGAGGTGCTCCTCAGTGCCAGCCGCTTCTGTGAGTGCGCTGGAGCAAAGTGCTGAAGCTCAACTCATGTCCCCCGGTGCAAGGCTGTGACGCTTCACACAAGAGCACTGGTGCAATGCGGTGAAGCTTGATTCAAGCAGCGCTAAAGCTTTGTGGTTTTGAAAGTTTGGACGGTAACATAACTAGAGTAACATTTTTAGCTAGGGTGACTGGGCACACCAAAAAAAGAGGTTTGTACAAATCCGCTTTCCTTCCACAGAGTGAAATTAAAATATTTTTTATCTCCCTTACCCAGCTAAGAATAGCGGGGCTGACCTATACCTGTCATCAACCTACCGTAAAGTCCCGAGAGAACGCCCGCCCTTGAGAAATCGCCTATACCGTTTTTCTGGCTAAATATCTGTAACATACAAAATTCCGAAACATTGCCCACCCCGATTCCCGTCGGGCGTCACGCGATGTTCGGCAAGAATCGCATCAACCACACAATTTGCTGTACCGGCACATCTGACAAGGAAGTTCATAGCTCCCGTATTTTTGTCCGCGATCTGCATGCGCAACATTAGTTCCCATGACAGGCAAGTCTGTAGCGGGTTCCCACATGTTTATTGCACCATAAAACTTAAATCTGCTGCATTCGCGGTTTTCGGTATTCGTTCCCGTGAGATGCGAGTTCTCGGTGGGTTTCTGCGGGTCCTTCGCATCATGAAATCCGAATTCACCGTGTCCACAATCTGTGGAATCAGTTCCTGCGTGACATGGTTTGTATCTGGTGCCAGCGTGTGTATCATTAATTTTTCATAAAGCTTTGCTGTGGCATCCCCAAAGATAGCCCACACCATGTTTTTCACCATTTATTTCTTCATTATGGGTGGGCGTTCTTTCAGAACTTTACGGTAATATGAGCAAATATCATAGTTTACATAAACCGGAACCTAACCTACAGAACACTGAGAGCAGTCTTCCCATGCGCAGCGCAAGTTCGTCTGCTTCTTCGGCAGAGGCCGCAATGACGCCAGAACACCGAGCTCCGATTGGAGGGATAGCGGGTAGACCTCGAGGCAGCTAGCTTGGAGGTCTACCCACTATCGCTCGATCAGCGCCAATCAAAGCTCAGCATTCCGATGTCAGTGCAACCCCCGTGCAAGAAGCAGACAAACTTGCTCTCCACATTTATAGCTCTTTTCACAGAAATGCTATAGGAAGCTGTTGAAAGCCCGTTGCAAGCGCCTAATACTAACACAACTTTGTGGTTCTGCTAAAGTAAAATTAGTGACATGGTAAAGCTTCTCTCATCATATGCATTGACCATAGAGATGTTTCAGGGTACAAACATAAAACATTTGAGTCCAACGTACGGAGAGGCCGGGAAGTTGAGCGTGATGCTCCCTCTGACGTCGCTGCCATACTTGAGATATCCAAAGAATCCTATGGCCGTGTACAGGCAGACCACGATCATCATGCCCGTGTTGAGCACGCCGTTGATTCCCACAAAGTCTTGCGGATTCTGCATCTCATTCTCGAGTGGCAAGACCTGGAGCAAAGGCGCAATGACAAACATTCTTTCTAAAAGGAACCGTCAGACCGTTTAATTTCTTTTCCCTTTGGCTAACTAGGGGCGAGAGTAAATTGATCTCAGCCTCGGAAAAAAAAGGTGTCAGGAACCTAGCTTACTTTGCACAAAGCTCACTTTTCTGCACAAGGGGGATTGGAGGACGAGGGTGTTAATGAAATTGAACCCAGCATCCCCGAGCTCAATCCTCACCCTGCCCGTATTGATCTAGATGAGCATCGGTACCTCAGTGGGCCTCAGATGCCCACTGGGGCTGACTAACTCACGGCTGTATAAACATACACATGGCACAATTATTATTTTGTGCACTAAAAGTGCATAGGAGGTGCTTTCAGACTTTTACACGTCTATTGGCCTGTTTTTTTTTAGAAATTTTAGACATCTTTTGTGTTTATGTTTCTCTGACTTTTTAAAGCTTTTAGACTCATTTGAGGGGCTAAGATGCACAATGCAATCAAAAGACGTCGTGTAGTACCGTATTTACGCGCATAATGAACACACTTTTTTTTCCGAAAAATTGACCCATATTTGGGAGGGGGCAAAATTTTTGCATTTACACACTTTGCACAAATGTCATTTTAGGTGCCAATATGACATGGCAGGGTACTGTGGCACGTCTCCACTGACGGAGGCACGCCCACGGCTGGTCGTGGGCGTGCCATAGTAATCATGCTCCATACAGTTGAACCTCGATTTTACGAAACCCGATCTTACGAATTCCGCGATCTAACGAAGAAAATTTGATTCTCTGTAAGGTGCCCATAGGGCTCAATGCTTTTCTGAACTCGAAATGACGAAATAATGTTGGGATTTAAGCTTTTTTTGAAAATAAATTCAAGTAAAACGAGGTTGTTTCAAGGATATTTCGAAAAGAAAGACTCAGAAGATTGTCATTACGGTGCATCAGTAACATTGAGGAACCCGAAGTCTGTATTTTACGGAACTCCACGCAAAAACGAACTGTGCATCACAAGCTTTGAGTAAACTATACCAGATGGCGCTGGCGGCGGTATTTCACGTCGCGTGCAATAGATGGCGCCGCTGATGTTCGCCGCCGTTTTGGCCGTTTGCGGAGCCGAGATTCGTGTTTCTTCGTTCCTAGGTCCTCCGTGTTGTCACGTCTTTGGATTCCTCTACCAACACGTCTACGTCGCCGCCAAATGAAGCTGCTAAAGAAGAAAAGTTCTCTCTCCAGAAGAAAAAGCGGAGGTAATTAACGCTGTTGCCAGTGGACGTAAAAAATGTGACGTTGCTACAGAGCATGGCATCCCAGCGAGCACGTTGTCAACGATCTTGAAGGGGAAGGACGCTATCCTTCGAGCGGCTTCGTCAGGGAAGGCGATGAAAAAGAAAAACCTGAAGACTACGCCATACGAAAAGTTGGAAGCAGCGCTTTACACGTGGTTTATGGGCATGAGAGCCAAGAACGTTCCGATATCCGGGGAAGTGCTACAACGGAAAGCGCTCTCTTTTGCATGTCTGCTGGGCTTTGATGACTTCAAAGCAAGTTCTGGCTGGCTGCCGCATATTAAAGAGCGTTACGCAGTTGTAGACAAGGTGATATGCGGTGAGGAAAATAGCGTCAACAGGCTTGAGACCAGCGACTGGCTGTCCGAGAATGTACCGGACATCCTAACAGGCTATGCCCCCAGGGACATATACAACGCCGACGAAAGCGGTCTCTTCTATCAAATGCTACCGAAAAGAACGCTTGCCCAAAAAGGTGCGTCCTGTCACGGTGGCAAGCAAAGCAAGCAAAGGGTGACGATGCTGCTGTGCGTCAATATGCGCTCACAGTCGAAGATCATCAGCTTCTTTCTTGAGCAATAAATTTGTTGTTTTCCCGAGAATTGAAAGCTTTAATACGGTGCCGCGGAAGCAGCTTGGATGCCGCTGCATTAAAGTCGTAACTATTGAATCTAGTGGCCAAAAAATGCATTTCCCGATTTTACGAATTCCGCGATGTAACGAAGTAATTTGCAGCTCCAGTCAATTTCACTAAATTGAGGTTTAACTGTATATAAATTCCAAACCTTTTCTAGGGCGCTTTTGGCGTGCCTTTTGCCAAAGAAAAAGCACCTTACGAAGCTCACTCAGCACGGACAGCAACACAACTATTCTTAGGCCTAACCACTTTCGCTCACTGTCCAAAAGCAGACCACAAACAATGGGGTGTTTGTTGACATCAATGCATCCGATAGGTGAAGAATGTCCGGAGCTGGGCAATTCCTAGACCCAAGCTTCGTGAAGTGGGTGCGCCGCTCCATTTCATGGTTGATCACTTCTGCACTTGCACTTCCACACTTGCAGCCATTACGAGAGCAGCTTGGCTTGGCTTGACTTGGCCTGACCACTTAGCGGCAAAAGAAAATTTATTTGGTGGCTCACTAAACTGGACGCAATTCAAGACTTGCGGAGCCGAAAATTGAAAGTGAGTTGATTATGCGAGGAAAAAAAGTACAAACATTGGTACCAGTTTTGGGGGGTGGGGGGGGGTGCGTTTATTATGCGATTGCGTTCATTATGTGAGTGAATACGGTATGTGACACGCCGCTCAGCACGACAAGGCTTAACTGTATCGAAACGACGGTCGCCCGCAACTCAAGGCCCGCATAAGCCCCAACAAAACCCGGAGGAAGCGGCGAACTCACAATGCCAATCCCTTCGAAGGCGTAGATGGCCGTGCCGAAGTACAGGGGCAGCCTCTCCCAGCCCAGGAAAAAGGGCCGCTCTGAGACGCTGGGCATGTCCTGGAGCAGGTTGTAGAAGATGAACCCCATGCCCAGGATCTGGAGCACGTTGGCGAACGTGGACGCCAGCGCCAGCGTTCGCAGGCTCCTGATGAAGTTGTACAGGATCATCAGGGGAAGGAGGATGGCCAGGCAGGTGTAGATGTTCAAGCTCGTCCCCAGGCCTCGCAGAATCTGGGGAATGGTCACGATAGCGTTCGAAAAGAGCCAAGGACATTGCGCAACTCTCGGGCACTGGTAGGGTCGTTTGGCGGAAAGTGGCAAGGTGTAGCGCAGATGGAAAGCTACCCTTGGCTAAAGGCAACACACAAAGCGTGTTTATGTCACGGTTTTATTAGCTAAAAATGTTGTACTCCGGCAAGTACTGGCACCTAGCGGCTAAAACGAAAGGCTGTTGCGGCAGGTTCGCTCACCAGCCTGCTCGAACAAACCAGATATTCACAGCACATGGTAATCTAAAGACGAAGCCGTGAAAGTAGGTTGAAGAGTGTGCAATGAACATTGCTGCTACTATGAATGACTTCATTTTCGTAAGTTCGATATCAGCACAAAATGTGTTATATTGGCCATTTTCTACGAAAAACCATCACGTTCGACCGTTACACATAAGTAAAAGTTATATAAAGCATGTAAACCCCCACGGGCCATTACAAAACAAATACAAGTGTACTCCCGACAGAGATTGAACCTGGGACCAAGTGGTTTCCAGCCAGATACTACACAGGCCGAGCCTAGCAGACAAGGCACGTGGAGACAGCTAACTTTACAAAAGCAGTATGTGCCATATCGCGTCGTAGATTGCCTCATCTGATGTCAACATACGTCACATATCACACCAGAGCTGCATAAGGTGAAGCAAGCTCTCCCTCATATATAAGCTAAGAGCTGGCTCGCCTCGATTCCTTGCATCGCCATGACTTTGATGCAGACCACTGCCAAGTGTATGCGAGCATATTGCCAGCATAAGAAGCAGCAGAAACAACGGCAGGGAAACAACAAGCACACTTTCAACGTAGGAACGCAAACCACTGCGGAATGCTCTAGAGCCTACTGCTTGTGCTCGACACATTCAGCGCTTCTCTGTCTCTGTCAGCACAATCGAGATAGCGTCCTATTGAGAAAAGGTTTGTTATCAAAGGTGTGATGTCAGAAGGATGACTGAAAGCGATGAATGGCAAAGTGTATGAATCTCTTTCAATAAGGCATTGGCCGCCGAGCACTCGACTTGCCACCAACTATAGAATTTGTTGCCTCGTGGCGCGCTAGTAAATCTACGAGCGCAAGTGAGGGACTACGAGTTGAGTCAATGAGTTCGTAAAAACGGTGAGGACGATGGCAACTCACCTCTTCCAGACTTTTGGCGACAAACACGAAATAGACGCAGCAAAAGCCAAACTGAGTCATGAGTAAAAATGTGTTCACTACTGTCCTGGAAGTGAAAGAAAGAGACGACACCGTAAAAACACAAGCCGAAAAAAAGTCGTAACATGGTCAGAAACGAGACCAAAATGAAGAGAGAAACTTCTTAGGTACCCACTTGGCAGTGTCAGAAAACCGCCGCAGTCGCTGCGGACCGAATTTGAAGGAATTTTGTGCTACGCCAGCGAAGTCCAATGTCCGGCATCCGATTCTGGGTTGTGAAAGAAGCAGACGCAAAAGAGAGTAAGAACCCACCAAGAAGCACAGAGGTTTTGCAACACGACACACAAGTGCCCATCGCTTACTTTTTTGACAGGATGTGGTTGCAGCGTACCAAAATGTGCATGCAGTGTATGCAGACGAACCCCATCAGCAGGACCCCTACAGAACCAACCTGAAAACAAAACAAAAAAACAGTTTTGATATTTTCTGTATTATCGTTCATAAGTTTATGGTGGAGACACTAGACTGAGAAAGAAGACGGATAACTATTTCTATTTTTCACTCCCTCATCCTCTCTACCACATCACCCATCTTATCACTTTTGTTTACATGTTTGCAACACTGACAAGATCAGAACAGTGTTCTAGCCTCACCCGGTTGTTGCTTTTTACGATAATGTGCCACAAGAAGACAGGCTGTTAATGCCGGCACGATTTCCATATAACAGGGGTTCTCAAACTTTTTGGCCTCACCATATCAATTGCGATGTCAGTACAAAGTGAGATGAAGGCGCTTTGCATGGTCCTTCTGCACAGCCTGCAGCGTGGGGGGGGGGCTGCAATTTGGGTGTTCACAGAACCCATGAGACCAGTTCGTGGAACCCCTGTGTTCCCCGGAACCCAGTTTGAGAACCCGTGCCATATAATAATTACGCTGCAACTTACACAACGACAAATTCAATGTCCGAGAAACAAAAGGCACTCTTACTGCATGAGCGATGCACAATTAAAGCGGTTGCAATGCCTTTAGCGTGAAAAAGTCTGCAAACCTGTAAAGAATGAGGGGGCCATGACGATGTGCAACTTTGCCTCCCTGAATCCAGTCTGGGGTAGTAACGCGTTACTAGTAACGCGTTACTGTAATTTCGTTACTTTTTTGGTAACTTGTAACTGTAACGAGTTACTTTTTAAAAATGTAACTTGTAACTGTAGTTCTATTACTTTTTTCTGAGGTAACGATGAAAGTAACGACATTACTTTTGTCGTTACTTTCCAGTTTTTCATGAATAATATATCACTGAACGAGTACAATTTAGCCATTTTTTGCGCTTTCCAAATTGTCTCTTCCGACATTTCGAGTGTCAAGTTATTTTTTGCACAGACTTGTGAATAAGTTCTTTCTCGCCAGTCACGACCCGCATATAGCCACGTGTAGGTTCGGTGAAAAAAAAAAGTAGTTATCTTTAGCACGCGCTTGTACTTTGTGACTGAACACTTGCATCTTCGTGTCTTGAAGAACTATCTCTTTTGCGGTTCTTCTTCTTTTCTGCGCAAACACTTTTTAATCGGGTGAATCAAACGTGAAACAACAATACACGCGGAGGGCACTGCGAATGTTTCGTATTTTGATTAGCGCCGCCACTCCGCACTGCGCATGTTTCGTATTTTGATATGCGCCATTAATCTGGTGTAGTGTCAACAGTCGAGGCAAAATTTACTGCTATTTGCGCGGGGTTTGTTTCTGGCTTGCCGGGTACAAGCTGAAATATGTCCAGGGACTGTATGAACCCAGCGCAACCGTCAACGAGCCAGCAATAAGCTAGTGCTACGAAGGATATGAATGTTGATAAGAATAAAGAAAAACTACCATGGCCGGCGTACAGAGAGTATTTTGCTGACGTGGAGGAGGTTACTAACACCTTGACCGCAGAAAATGGCACTCTATTGCCTCACCGCCTACCCGGCAATCAAAAACCTTTTTCGACGAAACAACACTGCAATCCCATCCAGCGCGTTAGACGAGCGCCTGTTCAGCAAGGGCAGGGACGTGTTTGTTATCGAACAAGGGAATCTTTCAGAAACTAATTTCGAGAAGCAACTGCTGCCAACTTACAATACGAAGTAAAAAACACACTTTTTAATTTAATGGAAATAAACTTGGGGAAAAGCGTTTTCTAGTTTCTCCTAATTTTTTTTTTGTGTTATAGAAAAAGTAACTGAAAAGTAACGTCGTTACTTTTTAAAAGTAACTGTAACTGTAACGAGTTACTTTTTTGTTGCGGTAACTGTAACGGTAACTTCACTACTTTTTTCAGAAAGTAACTGTAACTGTAACGAATTACTTTTTAAAAGTAACTTACCCAAGACTGCCTGAATCGCACCGAAAAAGCTGCCTACCGGACCGACAAGAACAGGGAGGACCAGACCGACCGAGTTGCTAGCATTTCCAATGAAAATGTCACACAAATTGTCAGTGTTAGTTCGAGAGAACTGCAGGTAAACTAGGAAACACCAGAGCCACCAATAGGTGACACTTAGAGTATCGGCACAATCGAAAATGTGTTTTCGAGCTTTGGGTACAATGTCTGAAAATGTCGGACGACATTGCTTTGCTCTGTCGCAGAATGTCTAAACACTTCTGGAGGACGGAAAACCATTTCCTGCGATTCCAAATAGAGCACGAGATAACTGGCAACAATAATTGTGAGCACCAAGATGGCCAAAGTGTCGTCATCCTGAAGCGCAGCCTACCCGGTGGTCCTAGGAAACGTCGTACATAAAAAAAATCCGTGAAATAACAACAGCAAGGACACCCAATTGCCCAATAGTTGCTCAACACCACACTGATCTAGTAATCCGTGAAATGTTATTACTTTGGGACGTGAACATGCCTGCAACGAACAAAGGGGTTTCACTCACCACAATGCCGGCGTTTGCAAATGCATTGGGCATTGCAAGAACCCCAGTTCCAATGTTTCCCTTCAGCAAGTGCATCATAGTCTGGCAGCTCCTACAGATAGAGAAAAAAACGGTGCAACAGTCAGGAGGCAGGTGATGCACATGCTTTTGGTCAGGTGTATAAGAGCAAGAGGTGCACACCCAGCACTTTATAGGCACCCTGGAGATCTAACTCAGCGCTGATATGTACACCTCTCGCAATAGCGTTGCGCACACTCATCGGGAAGCGACCTCGGCAGTCGCAGCTTGACTGCAGTGATACACTGGTGGGTGTTGCAAGGTCGATATGCCTTTTTGGTAGTGATAGACCGAATCTGCCGAACTTCAGACTCGACAAAGTTTGGCACATGCCGAACTTTTGAAGGAAAGTTGGGCAAAGAATCAACAAAAATTCAGCAAACACCTGCCACGTACGAGAAAGTGACGGGGTTTGCAGGGCCATGAATTGCAAATGGATGCTGTGCGGTTACCATTGTACAGTCTAGTACTACCGGCGGTTACGTCGAGGTGCGGAGCATATGGTAACTGCTTTTGTGAGTGTGGTTTTCTTCAATATTTCCTGCCTCAAGAACAGAAGATTGACTAGGATGCGATACATTCTGGATAACATGATTTTCATTTGATATTTCCAGTGATGCACGAGGTAGTTACAACATTGACTGACAAGTAACTTCAAGCACTTATTGCCATTAAAGCAATCCTGTTCTCGGCTCGCAAGTAGTTTGTGCCGAAACAAAATATTATTGCTTTTTAATGAGCGTTATTTCATGGTTTCCATCTGTCCGCATAAAACTAAACACAGAACTATCATGGTCAACGTCCGACATTCTTAACTCCTAAATTTCCGCGTGTGTCCCAACATCTGAAACCGGAATTTTTAGAAGTTAAAAATGAGACATTGCGAATATGAGAACACAGATTCATGCAAAGCTAAAATGACTCAAACTAAAAGAAAATAAAAAAACTGCACATTTACAATAACATTGTTATTTTTTCTCGTGAAGGCTCAGCAGCCGTTGCATTCATTTTCGCGCACGAAACGGTGACTTGCAGAGGAACTAAGAACACAGTGTTACCGCCTTTATTTCAACAATTTACGTACACACTTGCAGGCATGCGCTGATGAGACCTCAAATCCGAAACTCGCATATCATGACTGCGCCCGCTACCCCACTACCACCCAACCACGTTGTCACACCACTTTGCAAAGTCTCAGTAAAATTGCCAGTAAACACACAAAAATGAGACCAATACAATTATTGTGTAGAAAATCACCTTATTTAGTAACAACTGTGTCAATATGCATTTAAAAAATGAACAAAACAAAAAAAACTATAAACCTTTCTTGCCCGGAAAAACGAAATATCAACTTCTAGATCTGGCGACAATGTATTTCTGCCGAACCTTTAGAAAAGTTCGGCGAAAATTCGGCTTTGCTGAATCCTAAGATTCGGCGCCGAATTTTCGATTCGGCAAAAGTTTCGCCCATCACTACTGCTTGGGCTACCGCACTGGCGGAAACAGCCTGAGCGGCGGCGGAGCTCTACAGCTCCACCCTACACTGACTCAAAAGTAGCCGCACGCGGCACCCCACAAAGTTCATGGCTCCCAGGTTTCAGGGCAAGAGAAACAGCTGCTTCACACACTCTCCCATTATGTTAGGAGATGAAAGGAAGGCAGCACTTTGATCGGGATCAAGCAAGCAGCTGTGCTCACAGTGTAACAAGGCACAACAACAAGGTATCCGACTCAGCAAGGTATCCGAATCTATTGCCCTATCTAACAGAAAAATAGATTATCTTGCTCGTCATTAGTGTAAAATGTCTGCTTGCGATACGGTGGTTCTCTGGCATTGGTGCATGACTGTTTTACCTTCTTTTTATGGTCTTGATCAAACAAGTGTTTAATGTGCGGTCACGATGAATAAAAATTCAGTTGAGAGTCGGCGCTGTGTATATGTCCTTCTGCTTCTTGTCCCTCGTCGTTTGCGCTGTTTTAACCTTTTAGAGATGTCACGACAACTAGCCCAAGCTTCAACCTCATCAGATTCACCTCGCCTATCGTTTGTAACAGCAAGGAATTGACAAGATAAAGAGACTAGCAGCAAAACTAACAAGCTCCTAACACCTAAAAATCTGCGCATCGCCGAGCTTCAAAAAAAAATTAAAAAAGACTAGCAGCAAAACTAACAAGCTCCTAACACCTAAAAATCTGTGCATCGCCGAGCTTAAAAAAAAAAATTTAAAAAATTAGAAACTGCAAGTTAAAACTGCCGAGTCCATTTTTTGGTCAACAAGGCTTGCATAGCAAAGGGCACTTCTGTGCGGACAAAAACTTATCTGGGCTTCAGGTTTAAGCTGTATTTTGAAAACCAAACCCTGTTTGTTGAATACTAGCCAGCAGCCTTTTTTTAGCCCTGGTCTAAGGCCCTTTCCTGCCGCACCATGTGATCCTTTTTTGCAAGCTCAACCTGTGGACTTTTGACTTGTATCTGACTGTTACCCAGTTCCTGCTATGTATGTCGAAATACCACTTCAACGAAACTTCGAGGTACCTTAGAAGAAAGATTTAAGTGAAAGCTCACTCAACTAAAATGCGTTACAATAAAATTTTGCTGGGGACCTCTACTAGAGAAGTTGGTTCATCTGAATAGTTTGTTCAACTGGAGTTTGTTTAAAGGGACCATGAAACGATTTTAAAATCGAGTTTCATCCACCGCGTGTCGTAAAAGGTGTGAAAAGAAACACAAAAACACAAAAATAGGGAGCCAAAAAAAATTATTTGCTATAGAACTTTTAAAAGAAAACTGGACTCTTTTGCGCCTTCCTTCCTTCGCCTGTTCACTACGATGCATCCGCGGAAATGGAGCACGTCAGCCAAATCCAGGTCGCCTATTGGGTAAGAGTCTACCTCACCAGCACCGCGATCGTAAACAATAAATAGCCGGCGAATGTTTCCTAAAAGTTTTCTTAAATAATATTCAGATCCACATTTTGTAGCATAATTAGAGATGTGTGGCGAAAATTGCCAACTTTGATAATGCTGAGAGCCAAGCGCCATCTATCGTGTGGTAAACGAAGCAACTACTGCGCGTGCGCAGTAGGGCAGGGCCGACAGTTACTTGGGTGGCGGCCAGCGACGAACGTTTATTTTCTTTGTTTTCCTTCCTCTCAAAACTCTGACTGACTGAACGTTTATTTTTCTATGTGTTCTTCCCGCGCGTGCCGACTTCAAGCAGCAAGAAAACAGTACTTAAAACAGACCACGACGAACAAGAAGGCTGGATCCACCGACTCCGACGAAGCGTATAGGCCTAGCAGGCGTTCCGACTCGGCGCTGCGTTGCTTCGTCCCAAGACCGTCTGCCTACGATCGGCTGGCGTGCTAAATGGAATATGCCCGCGCGACCCTTGTGGACCCTTCCCGTATTATAGTTTGATCACTGACCTCAATTCTAGATTAAGAGGTGAGGTCAATCTCTTCCCCTTGTTTTCCGAGGTCGAAAAGGGACTCTCGTCGATTCTATCTTCTTGTTTTGTGTGATATAGAGCTGAAATAAACGCCGTATGGATTACCTTCGTAACACGGTATGTACACTTTGTTATTGGTATGCCATTTTTATTCTGACAGACTGCACGTCACTGTCGAGCTATAACAGTTCGTGAGAGGTATACGTACAACCCCGGTCCAACCTTTCTTTGCCGAGTGTCGCGTCAGTATCGAGTTGCAATCGTAAAAGAATGGTCCCGAAGCGCTTACAAACAGCGCGAATACGGCACTTCCATCAAGCGCGCGCGTCCGCTCCGAGTGTAAACAGGTATTTACGTGGCTCTTGCTGACACTCGTAGTTCAAACGTATCTTTTTTAACGTCGGCTCGCTCCTGCATCTCCGAGGCCGCGAAAAACGCCATCTACGTCGCTTTGCAAACGACTGACACGGGACGGCCCTTCTGCCAACAATGACGGGGTGGTTGACTTCTGGAGTCTTCACCGGAAGACTCGCTGCACTTCCCAACAGGCATACCGGCGTATGGGACTAGTCCCATGCTGTCGCTGTAGCGCAACATATCTCATTGAATTTCGCTTAGCTGCGATGCGGCGATGAGAGGCGCCGATTCAGGAAATACGTCGGTGACATCAGCGCAGTAAAACCTACCGGCGCACCCCAACTCGTCGCCGTTAACGCTCCCATTCTCCTACTGCCGAGAGAACTTCCGGTTCCGGAAACGGCCTACGTCACGGCTTCTTTTGCGGTCAGTTGGAGAGAATGAAAAAGTCGATACTTTAATAATTTTTTGTGTAGAAGTTAATAAACCGAGACGAAAACGGATGCCTGTTCGGCATTCAGTGAACATTGACGGTTTAATGTAAAAGTTATCTGGAAAAAGTAAAAAGGTCATTTCATGGTCCCTTTAAATGGTATTTCACTACGGTGCAATCCACTTATAATGATAATGAGAAAATTAAAAAATTCAATCGTTATAACCGATTACTGTTGTACCTGGACTAGAAACTGATTGTTTTTAGTCTAGAAACTCATTTTTATAAGCAGTAGATTGTTTTATGTAGTATCGTTATAAGTGGATTGCACTGTATAGCCGTGATCTTATTGGTAGTCAGCTGTAGGACAATATAGACAAGGGACGGCTATAGGCAAGATTCCATGTTTTCTGAGTTTATTTTCTTTTCTGGGTGTTTTTGGAGTTCAGTTCTGGCCAAAAACTTGGGGTATATCAAAGTCTATTTTTACTATATTCCGAATTCCCAGAAACTGAATGTAATTTTATCCTGTTCCCAATTTTCTCAAAATTCAAGATAAAAATAAAACGTATACAAACACGAATTTACCCTAAATTCGTAAGAACTCACCTGTATCAAACAATATTTTTTCAACTGGATTTCTACGCCGTCACTTTTGCCCCTTGCCATACTGCCTATCCCACAACAAAACTTGCAAATAAGTGCTGGTTCAATGAACTTGATACTTAAACATCACTGAACTCCTGGACATAGTCGCTAAGAAGCACAGAAGTTTCAGTTGCCCTTAGACAAAATTTAACGAAATCGATGGGTTCACAGCTTTTAATCATGAAAGTGCAACTCTTTCACCCCTCTAAGTGTAAATAGCATGGTCCAAACTGGAAACTGGTTTTTGCCTTGACCAAGAAGTAAAGTGATCCGTTGTCCGGAACGAACCCCGACGAGATAAACAATTGACCCCTTTTTGTCGATAGTCCCGACATTTAAACAGAAACTGGAGCTGCCCCCTTTGAAACCATTCACCTTCTGATCAGACAAAACTTAAACCCTCTTTTCTTTCCTTTTTTTTTCTTTTTACAGCTAAGCTGTTATGTGCTAGGATTTGTAAAAAAAAAATATGTCCATGGATGTTAACAAAAAAAACTCCCGTTTAAACGGCGCTCCTTCGTTCCGACTGGTCGTGGCAAGTATAAATAAAAAAAGGGGGCAACCCACGTGGGTCAGCCTTCCTTGGCATTATTAGATAGTGAGGTGCTGATCCCTTGTAATCATCTACGGTCGCCAACTTATCTCAGCTAAGAGTGCTCTGTGATGAGTCTGAAAGCAGAACGCGCCGATCGCCGATCTAACCTTCTTTTCTTTCGCTTCCGCGATGCTGATAAAGAGACGTGGGCTCAATCAGACAAAACTGTCCTCGAGCTGTGGCTCGAAAAATTGGGTTTAGAACTAGCCCATAACTGACCATAAGGCAATGATTACTTTAGTCACTAAGAATTAAATAAAGACAATTAAACAACTAAGTCGTGTATGTGTCTTCATTGCAATCATATGTAAATCATATAGACCGTTCCACTAGGAACAGCAGAGAGAGAAAAAATGCCACCCCCTCTCACCTCGCGCATCGTCTGCTCCGTCGTGTAGACTGTACCTAACATACGGCTGGCGTTCAAACTCTGTTTAAAATCGCGTCATTTCGGAAATTTCAAGCGCAGATTTTGATATGCAAGTTATCGTGTAATGCTATGCTCAATAAAAAGACTAACCAAGTCTCATTGCGATGTTACCTGCATACGAAAAAAAAAATGGAAAAACTGTGTCAGAGTGGCCGGTCGCTCCGGCGAAAAGTAAATCCGGTCGCTGTAGCTATTTTACTATACGAAGTTCATACTGGTGTAGGCCTTTAGCGACAATGAGTGGAAGCCTGGAATAATAAAAACATGCTCTCCTGGTGCAATAGATGCGGTGGGTGAGTTGCCGGCTGACTCCACTGCTATTGAAGTAACATTTACTGAAATAAAACAACAGAGCGCTAAAGGCTGATTTTGGAGTAGCTATAAATATTCTAAGAACGCGAACCACTTCATAATGGCAGCCACGAGCGAGAGTTTCATGTTTAGTACAGCCCGCCGGTACAGCCCAAAGACTGAGATTAGCAACCTCCATGTTTGTTGTCTACTAGCAGAGTCGGGCACGTGCCCTTTCTCGTTTTACCCTGCCGAACCTGCTGAACTTCCCGGATGAGAAGGCGCTGCGGTCTAACAAAATGGCGTCGCCCTGAGAGTGCTAAATGAAATGGTCTATGATGTTGTAAAGTTGTTGTAAAGAAAACCCGTGTGAAGTGAATGGGCTTTACAATTTTTTTTTCTTTCTTTCTTTCTTGTCAACGTGATCTCCAAAAATTCAGTTTTTCTCTTTCCAGTAGTGAAAGGTTTTGCCAGTGATTGTTTTTCTAACTTGGGATTTTTACCAAGAACATGGGACAATATACCCGTTTTCACCTCAAGAAACATAGTAAAACAAGTACACCTCCCCGTGGGGCATTGCTAATTTCCAACTTTATATAGAGAATTAAGATACCCGTAGATGCTTTTCAGATTAGATACACTCCATCTTATCAAGACATAGCATCGCATCTTTCTCTGACAACCAAATCTTGTAAAAACTACATCGCACAGCATATGAACAATGCGCAAAACTTGCCTTTTTTTTCTTGAGGTGACAACGAGAACAGCTGTAACTAGAGTTGTGTGTTTTTGGTGAATACCGATAAACCGGTTTCACAAGAATTGACGAAAACCGAAAAACCCTGAGTAAGAACTGGCCCGAATAAGAAAGAAACCCAAGCTTCACGCAAGAAAAACTTTATCTACAGCATTATTCCGTTTTGAAAGGGAACCCAGCCCACAACAACTCTAAATTGACCCTCATCCCGTTCCTTTCAATTACCGGAACCGCGACACACTCATTCCCTAGCGATCGTGGAAGTCCACCTTTTATTTTGCAATAAACGCCCCAGATTTACCCGACAGCAAAAAGTAACACCGAAAAGCGCAGTCTGTGGGAAAAAATACCCTCCTCCCCCCTCAAAAAAAAAACCACACACACGTTTGTATACGAAAAATAAAACACCGAATACACCCCAGCTGCAAATTCTTGAATTTTGTCTGAAAGCGAGGAAGCACAATGGTCGAGAAGGTTTTCGCAGCACCTTCCCCGATTTCAGCCCCACCTGCTGGGGTGGCAAACTTCCGACTCACGTGGTGAGTTGATGATCCGAGCCCGACTTCGATGTCGCGCACTCCGGGTCCATGGACCGGTCCACGCAGAGTGGACTTGTCTCCGAGTCTTTTTCGGCGTCCCCATGGCTTGTGGGTGTTCCCTGTGCAAGGCCAAAGGCTACCTTGAAGCACGACCGAAGGCTACCCTAAAGTAAAAACTGAAGGATACCGAAGGCCATACTGAAGCAAAATCAAAGGCTAATCCAGAACAAAAATGAAGCCTACTCTGAAGCAAAATCTAATGCTACATTGAAGCGAAATCTTGGGCTACCCTGAGGCAAATCCTAAGGCTACTCTGAAACAAAACTGAAAGCTACTCGGGAGCAAGATCAAAGGCTCCTCTGAAGCAAAACTGAAGGCTACAGTGAAGCTAAGCTGAAGACTACTCTGAAGCAAACCTAGGGCTACTCTGAAGCAAAACTGAAGACTACTCGGAAGCAGAGTAAAAGGCACCTCTAAGTTTTACTGAAGGCTACAGTGAAGCTAAACAGACAGCTACTCTGAAGCTAAACAGAAGGCGACTGTGAAGCAAAACCAAAGGTGACTCTGAAGCAAAACCAAAGGCTACTCTGAAGCAAAACCAAAGGCTTTGTGGGAGCAATATCAAAGGCTCCTCTGAAGCTAAACTGAAGGCTACAATGGAGCTAAACAGTAGGCTAGTGTGAGGTGAAACAATGTTGCAGTTCACAAGGTGGGACTGAAAGAAATTGCAATGAGTGAAATGAAGAGAGGAAGGGACCAATATGTTTCTAAAATAATGAAGGGGTCAGAAAATTTTGGAAACAGTCTTTGATAATTTACTGCGGCTTCTTTTGCCGTCGAGAAACAGCTTTTCCGTCATCGTAGAAATGCGAATACAGTAAAACCTCGTTATAACAAAGTTGAAGGAGCAGTCGTAATTATTTCGTTATAACCATTAGTTTGTTACAGCCAATGTCCATTTCTTCCCACTATTAGCAAGCCAGGGGAATTATGATTGCTTTGTTATATCCATTAGTTTGTTATATCCCGTTTTGTTATAACGAGGTTTTACTGTACCAGTTTTTATTTTATTATTTTCATCATTGGCCAAAGATGAAATTTCATGCAACACGCACAGTTTCAGCTTTTGCCTCACATTGTTCAGTTTCCATTACCATTGCAGTGCTCAACTAGCATTGAAAGGACAAGCTCTTAAAAATTTGCTGAACAGAAAATGACCAGCATTAAATACATTTACAGACCCTCCTCCAAGATGGCCAGATGATTAGGAGTTTTGGTATAGGAGTAAATAGTCAATCGATAAAGAGGCCGATGCCTTGACAGCTTCATGCTGGAATGGTGCTGGCATTACTGGCAAATACCCATAAAGTCTGAATGCTGGTTCAAATATTCAGATGCCATGATAATCTAGATATAGTCCTATTCAAACCTGGAAAAGAGCCAACTTTTCACAGCGTTTCGTTTGGGAACAGAAGCGATATGGCCATTTCAATCTGCATGCTTGACCGCAATCTCACAATATAGAGTAGACAGGTGAGCAAACAACCTACAGCAGATTAGGGAATCAACTGTTGTTTCCATTGTTGGGTTTGGGGACAAGGCTCTGGCAGCCTGATTGCAAAGGTTATCGTTGCCTCGAAAAAAAAAAACCTTGAACTCTCCAGGAAAGCTCTTCACTGAAGAATCCTCCACTATAAGGAGGCTTCTAGTTAGTTACAGGTAAAGAATAGCCATACAAACTCCTCCCATAAAGTCGTCCACTCTTTCCACTTTCGCAGAGCAAATGCTAGAGAGGAGGAAACCATGCACCAATCACGGCAAGCAGAAAACTTTGTGGGAGAGGCTTCTCAGCATCTTATTTTGCGACATACTATAATGGCATTTCAGAAATAGGTCTTCAGACAGGAAGGGCAATGCCACCATGAATGGTCACGGTCAAGACGAAGTTTACGTCGAGACCATAGTCTTGCGTGGCTGCAAAGGTAGTGTCAATGCCTTGACACATTTGACAAACCAGGCTCAGTGAATTGTCAGAACTAGCTGGTCAAAAAGCTCATCAATGCAGGCTTAGAAGCCTGCTCTGAAAAAGCTCTCATGCAGAGTCTCAATTGCTACAGATAGGGATGTAAAAACACCAAGAATCTCTTCACATTTCCCCATAGCATGTCAATTCTGAAGCAGCTGAGCTGGACAGGACTGCCAGGGATTGGATGCACTGTGGATTAACTTAAAACCACAGTGCAAGTTAGACTCCCAGGCGAAAATTCAAAGTGGTTTTGCAAGGGGTCCCACTTGCCAGCAAGTGGTTCCATTTGAATACCACTTTGGTTAAAGTGGTTCCACTTGAACTGCCAAGTGGTCCCACTTGGGATGCAAGTGGTTGAAGTCAGAAAACCACTTGGCCCCAAGTGGTTCCATTTCCCTTCAAAGTGGTCAGTCAGAAGACCACTTGGTCTTAAGGGGTTCCACTTGCCTCTCAAGTGGTTACAGCTAGAAGACCACTTGGACCTAAGTGGTCAGTCAGAATACTTCTGTTCCAGCCCATCTATGTAATCAGTCAGCTATAAAATTTACTATTTTCACCTTGCGCTTCGAAGATGTCAGTGCCAATACCCATTTGGCTCCACTTGGGTATATCTTAATAAGCTATTATTTCAATCTAGTTATGCCACTTGCCTCCTACAGATGGTAATTTCATAAGATATTCCTTCATATATATTTGGTTCACACATCAGAACATGAAGTGTGCTACAAAACTGTAGAAAAACCAGCGATAAGAAACATAACACACTCCCATAAATTAAATAAACAGTTTACCTGGAGAAACTTCGCAAATGAATTCACAGCGCCAAAAAAGTACAGAAATATTCATAAATTTCAACGAACTTAAACAGTCGGGGAAGCCTATTAGCCCCGAGAAGCTGCTACCATACAAACTAATTTCCAGTAATTGTGCATCTTCTAAGAAATATGGCTGCATACGTGTATAAACTATATAAATAATTCACGAAGAAGGTCCATTTATGTAAAACAACCCTGTTCCACGAGCACATCAAAGATAATCAGACACAGGGCCTTTTAAACATCTGCGAACCAGCGCATGCAGAGTGGCAGCGCAAAGTAGGAGTCTCGAGCTAATTTGCCGACCACCCAAAGGCCCATGATATAAATGCCACTTCAAATGCCTTGAAAGCGGGATGTAATATTGTCCTAAATCATGAACATGCAAGGAACAGAATTCCAGCGTCTGAAACACTTGCGCCACCGCTTCACCGATCCTTTGCAAAATTGCCTTGTGTTGTGTGGGCGGACGGGGAGGTTCATCGGCGGAACTGCCTCCGCCGATGGCTTTCGGGATTTGTAACCCAATTTTAAAGGTAAAAGGGACAAGCAGGCTTATAAAATGTACGGAAGCACGTCAATATCGGCCTAACTCAACGTCTTGTATACCGGGTAAACGAAGTCCAGCTCCTCAAAGAGCTTGCGGCACACAATGCCAAACCAGGAAACCGGTGCTGGGAAGCGATCCGATGCGAAATCGTGGAGCGGGGTCATCGCCCTGACGTCACGGTACGCCTCACCCAATCAGGGCGCGGCGACCGCAGCGACGCTTGTGTTCGCTCTCGGGGCTAATAACTAATATACAACGTATATAGGAAAACCAAAAGTTGGATATGTTTATCCAAAGCATATGCGAATCACACAACACAATTTCACAAACCTACCCAAGCTCGAAAGTTAAAAAAACAAGCGAGACTGACAGGAGTAAACATCTTGATAGAAGCAGCCATTGAGTAAATGACAAATAATAGGAATTGAATGCATAGACAATCAAATGGTTGGTAATATAATGTACAAAATTGTAAAATATTTGAGATAATAATTTTAAAAGAAGTCTTGCATAACTATTATGCCAGTATTTTGAAAAATGTTTACACTCATATTCACTGCCGAACACTCATTCATTGCTGAATCACTGCGATTGCTCGAGCCTTTTGCCGACTCCTTCGGCGTCCGCTGGCTTGCGTACTTCACTCGTCGTATGTTATGTCTTTGTGGTAACCTTCAAACACTTTAAGGACTGAAAACGAGCCCCAGTAACAAATGGATTGCTTCCGTCTCAATGGAAGGAAGCAGTAAGTGCCAGTCTTGATATGATAGCTGTATTAAGCAAGTCGGATTGGCGGTTGTGGACATTAGAAAAAAAAAAGGGACATAAAGCTTGTGCGTTGTACATTCAGATTTTTCTTCTTTTAATTATTTTATAGGGCAATGGCAAGACGGCTTCTATATGACACGGCAACAAGGCTTCTCAGCGCATGAAGGTTTAACAGCGAACCTCGAAGATGCTCCGGGCCACCAAAAGCACTGATATGTAATGACGGAAGGGGCAATAAAATGATCCGGCCGATATCAATTGGCTCGTGGTTGTTCCTTGACACAGTTCAGAACATGGAAGAGCTGAGCACGAATGAGTGTTAAGGTGCCCGATCGATTACCACTTGGATGTCCGACGGCTGTCCACTGGAGATCCGCAGACCTTTAGTGAATGTCCACCAAATATCTGCGGTTGGTTGGCATTTACAAAGGGTTTATGACACTGGATCCACTTACAAGTGGTACCACTTACAAGTGGTACCACTTGCAAGTGGGTAATGGAACCGGCCTCACTTGCTAGTGGTACCACTTGTAAATGGCACCACGTGCAAGCGGTCCCCATTTGAATGTTCACCTGGGCTGAGACTAGGAATAAGGGAAGAAATGACAGATGAAAAATGGATCCAGCTCCATCATCCCAAAGTCAGCTTAATGTGTTGATTTGTATCACCTGTTCACTCCCCGCAAACTAGAAAAATCCTCCTCACCACCCTTCCGATTTCCCCTTTTTAACTTGATGGCAAGGGGAAGAGGGGGAAGTACTCTTTTGTTGCTGCATCTTGGGTCTGGATGAGCCATGGCAAACTCTTGGCTTATCCAGCCCTAAGATACAGCAACAAAAGGAGTCCCCCCACCTGTCAATTTAAGATTAGGAGAGGAGGAAATGGGAAAAGGGTGAGAAGGATTTTCCTATATTGCGGAAAATGATTTTGTAGGTCGGCCTTTAACCATTTGTTGTTAAACTTGGATCAGCTGACTTTAAGCGTGCTACCCACTCATGCAGCCCAATCCAGATTTGGGGAGACAAGTAACCTGGTTGTGCAGAAAAATAAGATAACTGAGAGGTAATTCCATGGTAAAATACAAGCAAAGTGTGGTGCGGTTTTGAAACAGCTCTGTACGTCTTGCCTACCAATTGACTCTGAAGCCTATAAAAGCATGGGGGGTAGAAAGGGGGGAAAAAAACATAAAAAAGACACTTACATCATCGGAATGACGAGACAGGCCACTCAGTTTGAAGAGAGCGTCGTCTGCCACGCGAACGTACGCGCTTGAATCGCTGTTCACGTCCATGGATCTCCCGAAACCGCAAACGCAGGCGGCAATCACATGCGCTCGACTACGGACGTCAAGACCTCAATAGATGCGCTTCTTTGGTTCCGATTACAGGATTGCGTAGTGATTCGTCGCGTCTGCGACCGCCTACCGCGCGCGTACAGCTTGCTTCAGGGGATTTAAGCCTGTCTGTCCTCGCACTACATACATACACCGCCCCGTGAGCGACTACACTGAATGCTCCTGCGTGACTCACTGCGCCTGCTTGCGTGACGTCGTGATACGCAAAATTGGAGAGGGTAGGATGAGAAAGGGACGTAGCCGTCGCATGTTCGAAGACGGCCACGGAAAGATCCGCACGGCAGTGAACGTACGGAAGACTAAAATTAAACTCCGTACCAAGAGCGATTCCGACGTCGTCCAAACGTCGCAGCGCCCAGTGGACTCCTGCGAACTTCTCATTCTTGGACACTTAAAACGTTAGACTTATCTCCAAAACGCTCGAAATAAACTCAGGTGAACAAACTGGATCTTGCGAAGCACACCCCCGAGCGCGGACAGTGCCGATAAGGACACAAGAGATTACGAGCGATATGAACGCAGCAAACACGGAAAACGCAGGTTTCCGGTACTATGTGGTACCGGTAGTACTGATCGTTTTCCGACTGGGATCCCTTTCAAATGGTTCGAACTCACCGACAAGCTCGCCATAGCTCATTCAGGCACGTTGGCGGAGAACGTTACTGAATGGGTCTCGTATGAGGATGCACTGTGCAAACGTTGCCCGTTTGGCGATCGGGTATTTTCCAGCCCCCTTACGAGTAGATAGAGCACCGTTCAAACTTTTCCACACTGAAATTCGCCCTTCCTTCTTTCCCAGTTATCGTACATTTCTGAGCAAACATGCAAACGCTTTGTGCCAGTACCACATACACTGCACCGACAGAAGTGCATATGGCAAGAACTGGCTCTATCACAGCGTCCTGCAAACCCTACGAAATGGTTATGAGCACCGGTTTACAACTTTATACGATTTCAGCATAGTGATGGCCGTGGTCAGCGACCAAAAGCTTTCACGACACTGACGTAGTTGTGTGCAACTTTCTGCGAAACGAGCGGGATCGAGCTATTTGTTATCACGTCTACGTGGCTTTTGTGCGGTCGTTTGTAAACGGTTAACCGGCAAACGTAGCGAATGCTCGAGGACATTGCGGCAACAGCTTGAATACGCGAAATAGTCCAACGGATTTCACCGTGAAAGCGAGATCGGGACATCGCAGCTGACGATATGTTCGCGCGGCGTTCAAGGCGAAAACTCACGTACATCGTAGATTTCTTCTTCCGAATCGTCTTTGTCTTGTATCAGCTGAGAGTACTGCATTGATTCATTTGGCGAATTGGTGCCCGAGGAAACAGAAAACGCGAGGTTTGTACAAGCAAACACACGGCAAAATTTTGAAGCGAAACTGCAATAACAAAACAAACGCGATTAAAAAAAAAAGAAAAGAAAATCTATGCGACCGGAAACGGATGTTGTTGGAACCGCCGCGTAGTGGAAGAAACTTTCGGATTCACGTTTTGCTCGTTTTGTTACGACCATAAGTTCAACCGATATCACAATGTCGGACAAAAAAATATGATACCTATCTTTTTCGGCTTTTAAAAAACTAAAAATACGTTAATTGAAAAAACAAAAGTTGCATAGCAACGTGAGTAACTTTTTTTCCAGTCCAGTTTTGGTTTCGTTTTCGAGCAGTGTGTTTTTAGACTTTATTAATAACATACGTGACGCTGTAACAAAATATTGATTAGAGTAGTCTTGTGACACCATAATAAATCGCCTGGCCAAAAAAAAAAAAAAAAAGAGAAGGTTTTAGGGGGTTGTCAGTGACACTTCAGTAATTCAATAAACAAAAAAACAAAACACACTTAGTTGAGGCAACAGACACAGCAGGATACGTTCCCTTTTGTGTATGTTCCTTCGATTAGAGTTTTCTTCCTTTTTAGCACCACAGTCTACAACCACCCCGACTGCGCATTTAATCTTTTCACGGATATTATAACCGCGTAAACACAAAAAAGAAAGAAAGAAAAAGATTGTCTGGACACGTGTTTTGTTCTGGGACCGGACATTTAATCGAAAATCATTTCATCGAATACCGTTTCGTCGAACGCCATTTATCGAAAGCCATTTCATAAACCGCCGTTTCATCGAAGTCATTTGTATCTAAGAAATAGTTGTCTTAAACTGGCAGACCTTATTTTTTCCCACAGAAAGGGGAACTAGTGTCTTCTTCGTTTATTATTCGTGATCGGCAGTATCGTGGACTAAGCGGCTTTTCAACCTTTGTTGTTAGAAAGCAAGCTATTCTCCTAGGATATGAAAAATCAAGTTAATAGATAAATTTAAACAAAAAGGCATAGTGAAGAATATGGTTAGTTTTCCGGGTCTTTCTTTTATGCTTGAACTGAGAGGAAACAAAGTACCTGGTGGAATACAGCCGCTTATCTTACCTGGAAACAAAGAACACTAATTACTACCCATTCAAGTTTTGTTATGTTCTATGATTCAGCAATCAAATATTTGGAGAAATAGTGACCAGGGTAGTAATTTTATTTCTGGCGATTCGACAGCAGCGTTGAAACAACTCAGACGAGAAGGAGTAAATGATACAAAACACACTCTAATGCTCCAAAATTAGGTGAAGTAAAATTCGATGAAACGGCGTCAAGCGATTCAATGAAAGGGTGTTCGATGAAATGTCCACTTATTCGATGAAACGGCGTTCAATGAAACGGTGTTCGATGAAATGTCCGGTACCCGTTTTGTGCACCAGGTAGAAAATGCAACCAAACGTGTGACCGGGGGAAAAAAAAAAGAAAGAAAATGGAGCGCTCATTGCTGCCATAAAGGCGCGAGCAAGTGGCTTTAAAAATTGCCTTCTGCCCACGACCTTTTGAATAGACAAAGCGTTTTGTTGAGCTAGCCTGTTCCTTATTTTGTCTGCAGTGATTCTATCCAAGCCGACCTAATCTGCTCTGAGGAGTGAACCCAGTCAACGCAATGGCATCCTGAGGATGTACTGTGGATGTCGAGTCCAGGATGATGGGTAGTCCCGAGGACATCCTGAAAGAGTCTCGAATGATCCTCAAATGGTCTTTTTGTCCAGACCCATTATGTCCTGAGAACATCCTGAGTTGCCAGCCCTAAGGACTGCATGGGGACCTTTCTGGGATAAAGGCACCCCACTGGTTCAGTCAATGCATATCGTCAAGGAAGCATTTGATCATTTATGAAGGTCAGAAATATACAGGGTGTTCCACGAAAGGTGGACAAATTCGATATTGCAAAAACTATGCGTCGCAACAAGAAAAGACTTGTGTCGTTTTCGTCCTGGGCCAGGGCCTTTTTAGGAAAATTATTAAAGTCCGGGATAACTAGATTGCTAATTATTTCTGAGCAATTAACTTTTTTAATATTGTGTATTATTTTAATATTGGGCATGGTTTCAATTAAAGGATTCCTCAGCATCATCGAAAAACACTAAATCAACAAATTGCAGAACGATAGAATGCACGCGCAACATTTTACGGCTTTCTGAAAAACAGCACAAATTCGACGGGTTTTTAGGTTTCGGTTTGCTATCGGAGCGCATCTTGGCCCCGACGGCACCGCACCCCGTGTAGAAATAGCGCGACCAACCTCTGCTGTGCTGTCATCACACGACGCAGCACAGGCTGGTTGCACTATCTCTCCACGGGGCGCGGTGCCGTCGGGGCCGAGATGCGCTCCGATAGCAAACCCGAACTTAAAAGCCCGTTGAATTTGTGCCGTTTTTCAGAAAGTCGTAAAATGTTGCGCGTGCATTCTATCGTTCTGCAATTTGTTGATTTAGTGTTTTTCGATGATGCTGAGGAATTTTCTAATTGAAACCATGTCCTTATGCACAATACTAAAGAAGTTAATGACAAAAAAATAATTAATCTAATTATCCCGGACTCTAATAATTTTCCTAAATAGGCCCCTGGCCCAGGACGAAAACAACACAAGTATTTTTTTGTTGTGATGCGTAGTTTTCACAATATCGAATTTGTCCACCTTTCGTGAAACACCCTGTATATATATACAGGGTGTCCCAGATAACATGCAGCGAATTTCATGAAATAATGAAACACTCTAGACAGATAAAAGCAACTATATTATGATGCAGTCATCTTCAAGAAATGTCCCTATTTATTTCATTGCGGTTTACTAATTAGGTAAAATTAATTAATCAACTTTTTCTTTATTGGTTAGGAGCTCAAGTGAGATTTGAAGTCTTGGAATGTCACGAGAAATGACCGATTATGATATTTACAACAGTGTGTGCTTTGACTAGTCCTCTTTGGAAGGCAAGAAAAAACACCCGTGAACCAAGGCACACAGACCGCTATAGCAAGGCATTTTTTGTTTTGTAAACAGGACTACAGAAACCACACCTTGTTTTAAACAGTATAATTGCTTTCTCCTGATGTTCTACAACATTGCTAATCAGTTCAGCTCTTAAACCAATATTTAAAGAGCTGACTTAATTAATTTTACAGAAATAGTCACAATTAAAAATAGTGACAAATTTTGACACTGCTGCTAAGAACATACAGCTGATTTCATTCACCTGGGGTGCTTATTCTTTTTAACGTTTGCTGCATGTTATCAGGGCACCATGTCTCCAAAGAACCATTAGGCGATGCTTGATAGCTGACTGGTCTTTTTGGGGTCACCCATGCAAATGCTGAACTGACTTGCGACGGATGCTGCGCAGGCTCCTTGAAAACCATGAAACCAACACACACAAAAAATTTGAATTATTTTAACAGAAGAGTAGGCAGAAAGTACCAACCAAAATATTTATTGAATAGAACAAGGAAGAACAGTACTCTTAATCAATTTAAGACCAAACTTCAAATTTTTGTCCTAAAAAAAAAAAAAAAAAACTAAGATCATTTTTTCTCAAAACAAAATTCCTAGCACGCTAGCGCACCCTTTAAAAATCCCGGTCCGCGTTTCCCATCTGGGCTCCTCCTTTCGGTTATCGAGGGACGTCATGGGAAAGCCTTGAGGAATGACAGCGACAAGGCTTCCTGCAATGTCCCTAGATAAACGAAAGGAGGAGCGATTTTTTTCTTTCTATTTTTTTTTATTTAGACAAAGAAAGTATGAATTTGGGCTTCTTAGGAATCCTAAGCAAAATTGCTGGAAACAATAAAAATCAAAGAACAAGACGAGGGTACTAAAATTGGAAAATAAAATAACTGGAAATAATAATCACTTCTCGTGTTGTGCAATTGTGGCTGCTGGTCTAACAAGTAATCATTTAGCTGCAGACAAGAGGCATTCATTATGCCTTAATATGAACACCTGTAAAATGATTAAGAATGACTAGCTTTGTCAGGCAAGAGCAATACTTGAAAACAGGAGTAAAATGACTAGAAATAATGAGCAAAAAAAAAATTACATAAAGATACTAGAATTTGAACACTAAAATAATTGGAAATGATAATGACAAACTAACAAAACTTGTTGAGTAGTGTGCTTGCAGCTGCAGGTCAAACAGGTATTACCTGAAGATGGGCTTGAAAAAACAAAATGAATTAAAAAAGGTGCACACTATACTTGGATATAGATGCTCATAAAAAGTTAGGGGATGTTGCCGAGACCAGATTCCTCAAGCTTCCTGAGCTTCTCCGCCGCGTGTCGTAGCCACGTCTTGATTACCTCTTCAACGTCGTGACGTGTCGTTGTGATACGGGGGTTTCTTTTTACAGCTTCTGAAAAGTT